CCCTATCCAGAGGAAGAAGTACATGGAAGCAAGTGAGGCCCAATGAACTGCAACCGAGCGACCCACAAAACGTAAAACGTGAAGGCCCACAGTCGTAAAACCGAGTCGTGAAAACCGCATTGAGCACACCGTAAGCCAACCCGCAGGGCAGAATAAGACCGACTCCATTCGGTCCAATACGGGCAACCTCGAATTCCATCCAGACGCAAGCGACGAAAGGCTCCAAACTGAGATCGTCTATCCCACAGACTGCCACACCGACGGACCGTACAGCAGACCATTTCTTTCCTTCAAACCTGCAAATGCACATTGCCATGGCACGATGCACGGCCTCGGAGCAAACAACAAACACATGTTCCCAAACGCAAGGGAGTAAATGCCCGTCTCTGGACACGCCCAAAAGGCAAGGTAATCAATGCGAACTCCACCAGAAACAAACTGCAATACCCTCCCCTGGCAGAGACGGGAGGTCCCAGCGCTGTAGCGGATGAAGCCCAATGGGCTAAGAAGTCAAGGTGAAGCCACCAGGCAGGCCAACAGAAGCGGATTGTAATACCCTTCCCAGGCGCAAAGTGTTCGAGTTCGAGATCACAGAAAGGACGATAAAACCCACGGGTTTCTCCGACAGTCTCACACCACAAGCACTACGATTTCAACGAGACGACGTGGCTACATCATGAGAAAACGGATGAGTGGGGACTGTCGGGGAATCAGCTCCTGAAGTACGCGTTGTCCTGAGTAGACCCCCGACGCGCTCAGCTTCTCATACGAGGCCATGGCCTCACCCGCCTCGCCCTTAAGGGGCCCGGGCGCATGCCCGCACAGGCGTTCTGTCCCGTTCCATTCCGTTCCCCAGGCGGAAAAACGGGAGATTGCAGAACTGTAGCTAATGAGGCCTGGCTCCTGCGGAACGTGTAGAGCAGGGCAATCCGTTCCCCATGTGGCAGTGGGAGGCGACGGCACTGAAGCCAACGGAGCCAGGTGCCAGTCCCCGCGTGGTAGCTGGTGAGCCCGCTTGCCCCCCACGTCGTGGCGCTGAGGTCTTGCACCCCTGGCCGCAGCAGAGCCTCCTGCCACTGCTTGCTACACGCTCTGACCGTAGCTGACTGTGATAGTTGCTTCCCTTCGTCGCCAGGACGTGCTGGAGCTTGCAACTGCGAGACAACGACTCAAGACCACGGTCCAGATGCCCTGGTGTCCCCCTGGGCGCCGACGAGGAGGCGGGGGAAGCTGGCTGGCGCGGGCGAGGTGGAGACAACAAAATGGTTCTTCAGCGCTGCGCCCACCTTGTGCTTGGGGAGGAGGAGGAGGAGGAGGAGGAGGAGGAGGAGGAGGAGGAGGAGGAGGAGGAGGAGGAGGAGGAGGAGGAGGGGGGGGGCCCTGGAAGGGGGCCGGGGGCGCCCTACTACATCAAGCGCCGAGGGTTCGAAGCAGGGGGCCTGGCTAGAGAGGCCGATGTCCGGGGGAGTGGCGGCGGTGCTTCGGGCTCCGAGGCGGGGGGGGGGCGGTTCTGACGTGTCCCTGGGTTTTTGTCCAAGCAAGCGTCCACGAAACGCGTTCTTTCCAATACGGTTGCTCTTGCTAGGGCCACCAGCCACCGGCATCGAACATTCAAAGGTAACAGCTTCAGGATGTGATCGGGACGATGCTGTACCAACAATCTATGCGACGCGGGATTTAGACAAAGGAAGTCACGATCGCACCCCACGCGTCCGTAGTTCTTTGGCTGAACCTATATTTCAGTGCATTCGCTTGTTTTTGAAATGTGTATCCAGGCGCAGCAGCTTGCTAGCCGATGCTGGCTGGATGTCTGCGAGGAAGCGCCTGTTGTGTTTCAGTCCTGGTTCTGGTACTGAACGTAACGATTTGGTCGCTCATGTTTCACGTTTCCCGGAATTTGCCGAAGGCGGGCGAGAGTCTAGGCGGGGCAGCTAATGGCTCGAGCAACCGCCGAAGCAATGGGTGCGATTCAGAAAGAACCAGTCTTCTGGCGGGTGTTTTTACTTTGCGCACATTTCTCTGGCAGGGTGCGCAGCGCAAATACTACATCCGCTTGCCGACAGTGTACAGGGGAGATGTAACTTTCCCATTGGTGATGGCCCTGCACGGGGCAGGTAATTCAGCATTGATGCAGGCCTTGCTAGACCAGCTTGCATGTGTTGCGGACAACGCTCCTTTTATTGTAGCCTACCCAGAGGGTTCAGATGACAATTCCTGTCAGTACCGGGCATGGAACGTGCCAGGTGCTACCGTCGAAAATGGTCCTATGGGGCCAACTTGCATACCTGACCCAGAAATAGGTGATGGTAAGACGTATGCAACCAGCGAGAGTTGGAACTATTGCTATCAAGGCTTTCGCAGCTGTAGTTACAGGCCTGGCGTGCCACCAGGTGCGACAAATTCCACGGCGTGCTATTCCACGTCGTGCTTAGACGACATGGGATTCATCGCGTCGCTGCTGGATGCTTTTCAGGAAGAGCTGTGCGTGGACGCGGCACGA